GAGGGTAAGGGGAAAGAGGGAGCTTGTAGATTGAGGATCGGGTCGTGGAACATAGGCACGCTGACGGGTAAGTCTATTGAGTTGACAAAGATTCTCCAAAAGAGGAAGGTTAATATAGTTTGTGTCCAGGAGACTAGGTGGGTAGGGTCGAAGGCGAAGAATACAAACGGGTATAAGTTGTGGTACTCTAGAGTCATGATGGGTAAGAATGGAGTGGGTATCTTAGTGGATAGGGATCTTAGAGAGACTGTGGTTGAGGTTAGGCGAGTGAATGATAGGCTAATATTTATTAAGTTGGTGATTGGTGAGTGCACCCTAATGTATTTAGCGCTTACGCGCCGCAAGCGGGCTTCGATGAGGAGGTTAAGAGGCGCTTTTGGGAGGGTTTGGACGAGATTGTGCATAGTATTCCACCTACTAAAAGGTTATTTATTGGAGGGGATTTTAATGGCCATATTGGGTCGGCTGCTGGTAGTTATGGCGAGGTGCATGGTGGCTTTGGCCTTGGGGATAGTAACGGAGGAGGTACTTCGCTGCTACACTTCGCTAAGGCTTTCGAACTGGTGATTGCGAACTCGACTTTTCCGAAGAGGGAGGAGCATCTGGTTACTTTTCAAAGTTCGGCGGTGAAGACTCAGATTGATTACATTCTCCTCATAGGGTGTGATATAGGGTTGTGCAAGGATTGCAAAGTTATCCCGAGAGCAGAGGCGGACCCATGATTTAAGCCTTACGGGGGCACCATTGTTTTTAGTATGCCAATCACCAACAATAAAGTTCGGGTGTAACTCTTTGAAATGACTATGATAATTTATCATCAAAATAAAAATATCAATATTATCAAATATCATTAACTTGATACTAATATAACAAAAGTATATTGTCCACTCATAGTGGAACTCGACGCGTTTTCAAACGGTCAATAATAGCATCATTGCTTATATTTACAAACACTTCCTTCTCAAAGTAACAAACTAAACAATCATTTAAAAATGCATCACCAATACTACCACACAATTCATCTTTGATGTACTTCATAGATGAGAATGTTCTTTCCACCGTTGCAGTTGCGACAGGTAAAATTAAAGTCAACTTCACAAGCAAATAAACAAGTGAATAAATCTCCACAAGATTTGTCTCAACCAATGCTTTCGCCAAATCACCAATTCCTTTCAAATCAGATAACCTAGGGTCACCATGTTGCATATGTCATATGAAAGTGTCAAGTTGGTGACTGAGATCTCGAAGCTTCAATTCACCAAACTCATCGGGATAATGCTTGGCCAATGTCATTATTCTTTACTTATCAAAATTAGCAAATGAGTTAGCCGGATTCAAGCTAGCCATACCAAGAAGCAGGTTACTACTCACAACATCAAAACGACTTTTAAGCTCCAGAAGTTACAAATCAATCACGGCATAAAAAAGCTCAACACGTAAGTGATTGAATAAGTAACACTAGAAGGCCTACATTTCGACTTTCCAGGAATATAGAATTCTTCCATCTTGGGCACCAAAATATCATGTTTTGCACAAAATAAATATACTCCATCCATCAATGGTTCTCATCCTTTATCTCTCATTTCTTGCAACCTTCCCTTTGTGATATCAAGAAATACCATGGCATTGACAATATCTTGATCTTTCTTCTGTAATGCTTTGCTCAACTTATTTGACATTATCAACACTTTCAACATTAAGTGAAGCAAGAAAACAAATTCAAATGCTTTAATTTTACTCGAACAATCTTTTGCTTGCAACCTATCATTAACATCCCCTTCACATTCAATCACCCCAAGCACATGAACAATAGAAGAAAATAAAATAACAAAGTTATCCAATGTTTTACAATGTGATCCCCAACGAGTGTCACCTGGCCTTTGAAGTCCCCGCTCTTGATTTAATCCTTTCCTACTTTGAACTTCACCACTCTCTAACAATTGATCCAACAATTCTACTTGATGATCCCGAAGTTGATCTCTACGCTTAAAAGAAACTCCAATTATATTCAACACGTTAGTAACAATAGCAAAGAAAGTCTCAACCTCCTTGTATTTTTTAGCAACAGCTACAAGCGTCAATTGTAATTGACGTGCAAAACAATGAACAGAATATGCCCATGGAGTTTCTTGCAAAATTAAAGCTTTAAGGCCATTCATCTTTCCCTACATATTACTAGCCCCATCATAGCCTTGTCCACGTATTTTGGATGGACTTAATGAGTGTTTCATTAGCAAAGAAAGTACTGCTTCTTTCAACGACTTTGCAGATGTATTACTAACACGAACAAGACTAATAAATGGCTCGTTCACTTGGCCTTTTTTGTCAACATACCGCAAAGCAAGGGCCATTTGTTCATGGTGTGAAATACCCTTGGACTCATCAACTAATATCCCAAAATAATCTCCATCCAAGTCATCAATTATAGCTTTCACAGTCTCTTGTGCACAAGCACTCACAAAATCCTTTTGAATTTTTAGCGAAGTCATCATATCATTTTTTGGAGCATGTTTTAATATAACTCTATCTACATCTGGAAGCCTATTTCCAAGTCATTCCAAAAACCCTAGAAAAAGGCCTTTATTTTTTGAAGATTCACTTTCATCGTGACCACGAAAAGACAATCCAAAGTCCAAGAGAAATCTTGCAACATCAATTGAGGCATTTAAATGAATTCGATATTCAGTTTTTTTGTTGATCGGATTGCTTTTCAAAAGCAGCTTGAATTGATTGAGATTGATTTGACAAGTCTAGCATATTGTTGAAGCACTTATGGTGGAGATTACTTACTTCACCAACATGTAGACCAAATCTTTCGGTTGCTTTATTCCAAGCCTTAAAGCCGGTTTTTGTGAAAGAGTCACATGTGCTTTCATTAACGTAATCATTTTTGAATAAATAACAACATAAACAAAATGCGGCATCTTTCTTCACACTATACTCTAACCATCTAGAATACGAACCTTTAAACCAACCCGAACTAAATTGGCACATTTTCTTCCTAAATAAAGTTTTAGGAAATTTGTGATCTGGTTGGCAGGGCCCTCTTTGGATGTAGTGTCTTCTCACTTCATCTCGTATTCTAGGGCTATATCTATCAATGGATATTCTCTCTCCGGGATCGATATTAAGTGATTTCACATCAAACTCTTCTACAAGATGAGAGGAATTGTCTCTACAACTAGAACTTGGTTGAGAAGAATTAAACCTCGTCAAAAATATGTCCATCTCAATTCACATCAAGAGAACTTCCTACAAAGCAACAATGCCAAGCAAAACAATATTTTTAATATGATTAATCACACTCCTTATTTTATTATAAGTCATAACTATATTATTATTATTTTATTAAAGATAGAAGAATCACTTACCAATTTCTGAAAGGTATCCTTGAAATCCAAATACAATTTGGTCTCAAATCATCCACTTCACTGAAATAATATTTCAAATAGCATTAGAACAAATATTCAAATACCTATGAAATTAATTTATTAAGATAAAAAATTAGCACACCAACTAGGTTAAGTCCGCTCAAACAATGAATTCAAAAACTAAAAGAAGTACACCTTTTGGGGCCTCAAAATTTTTGGGGCCTAAATCAAAGACTTTATAGCCTCAACAAAATCAAGAAAAATTACAGAAAATTCAGAGATTCAATCAAAATAGAATAGCCAAAATTGAGAACAAGACACAAATAAGAGGCAAGCAAAACCTTCTAGTTAAGCCCCTTCTCAATCGTATTTTAAAAGGGATTTTTTTAAACCCTAAATTCGAAACTGAAATTTACCATTAGAAAAGTGGAAACAAGATGGAGAATTCCAAGTATAATTTTCAAAATCTTACCCAGAAAAAGATTCGGCAGCTGCTTGATCCCTGAAGAAAGAAACGTGTGAAGGTGAAGGATGAAATTTGTTTTGGGTTTAGAAGAAATAACCTAATGTCAAAGAGAGAGAAAAGGGAGTAGGCGTGTATTTTTAACCTTTGAACGGAATTAAGATTCAATTGAAGGTCTGACCGAATGAGACCCAATCAAAAATTAAAAATTGATTGTTGGACCTGAGTTAACCTGGGTCTTGAAGAAGGCAGCTACACCCACAAACCAACTCTTCTATCCAATCTTTGTGATTGAGGGTGCCGCATAATATATTTATAGGGGCCCTCCCTGTATTAACTTATATATATACAATATTTTTACCGAGGCCAACGGGTGCCCTTGACCCCCCACCCCCAGCGTAGGTCCGCCCCTGCCCGGGAAAGACCCTCGCGACTCAGCATAGGCTCTTAGTGATGGACATCGACATTATGATGAAGAGGAAAAAGAGGTATGCTCGTGGCCGACCGAGGATTAGATGGGGAGCTTTAACCAAGGATAAAGCCCAGGAGTTGGAGGGGAGGTTATCCGCTATGGGAGCTTGGAGGAGTAGTGGAGACGCGAGCACTATGTGGTCAACGACGGCGAACTATATGAGGGAGGCGGCGAGAGAGGTGCTAGGAATATCGAAGGGTTTTTCTGGCAGGCACCAAGGCGACTGGTGGTGGAATGACGTAGTCCAAGGTAAAGTGGAGGCGAAGAAGGTAGCGTACGCGAAGTTGGCAGGGAGCACAAGCGAGGAGGAGAGGAGAGCGAATAGAGAGAGGTACAAGGTGGCAAGGAAGGAGGCAAAACGGGCGGTCACGGAGGCTAAGAATGCAGCGTTTGGTCGTCTATACGAGGAATTGGGGGAGAAAGGCGGGGACAGGAAGTTGTTTCGGCTGGCTAAGGTGAGGGAGAGGAAGGCCCGGGATCTGGACCAAGTAAGGTGTATCAAAGACGAAGATGGTAGAGTATTGATGGGAGAGTCCCGATTAAGCAAAGATGGCAAACGTACTTCTATTGTCTTCTAAACGAGGAGGGGACCGGGATATAGCGTTAGGGGACTTGGGGCATTCGGAGAGTCTCCGAGATATTAGGTATTGCAGGCGCATTAAGGTGGAGGAGGTCGTAGGGGCTTTGCGTAAGATGAGTAGGGGTAGAACGATCGGGCCAGATGAAATTCAGGTTAAGTTTTGGAAGTGTATAGGTAGCACAGGATTAGAGTGGCTGACTGGATTGTTCGATGTAATTTTTAGGACGAAGAGGATACCGGAGGAGTGGAGGTCGAGTACAGTGGTACCGTTGTAGAAGAATAAAGGTGATATCCAGTGTTGAAACAATTATAGGGGTATCAAGTTACTTAGTCATACCATGAAAGTCTGGGAGAAGGTGGTGGAGGTGAGGGTGAGGAAGACGACGTTTATTTTCGACAATCAGTTCGGTTCATGTCGGGTCGCTCCACTATAGAAGCTATCCACCTTATTAGGAGGTTGGTGGAACAGTACAGGGATAAGAAGAAGGATCTGCACATGGTGTTTATTGACTTGGAGAAGGCGTATGACAAGGTCCCTAGGGAGGTGCTCTGGAGATGTCTTGAGGCAAAGGGCATGCCGGTAGCCTACATAAGAGCGATCAAGGACATGTATGATGGATCTAAGACTAAGGTTAGGACTGTGGGAGGCGACTCGGAGCATTTCCCGGTTGTTAAGGGATTACACCAAGGCTCTGCGCTTAGCCCGTTCTTATTTGCCTTGGTGATTGATGCATTGACACACCATATTCAAGGGGATGTGCCATGGTGTATGTTATTTGCTGATGACATAGTTCTAATTGATGAGACGAGGGTCGGTGTTAACGAGAGATTGGAGGTTTGGAAACAGACCCTCGAATCTAAGGGTTTCAAATTGAGCAGGTCTAAGACAGAAAACTTGGAGTGCAAGTTTAGCGCTGAGTCGAGGGAAGTAGGCAGGGACGTGAGGCTTGGATCACAAGTCATCCCCAAGAGAGATAGCTTCAAGTACCTTGGGTCGATGATTCATGGGGGCGGAGAGATCGACGAAGATGTCACTCACCGTATAGGGGCGGGCTGGATGAAATGGAGGCTTGCATCTGGAGTCTTGTGTGACAAGAAAGTGCCACCGATACTCAAAGGTAAGTTTTATAGAGTTGTGGTTAGACCGGCCATGTTGTATGGGGCAGAGTATTGGCCGGTTAAAAACTCCCATATCCAGAGGATGAAGGTAGCAAAGATGAAGATGGTGAGGTGGATGTGCGGGCCCACTAAAATAGACAAGATCAGGAACGAAGATATTCGGAAGAAGGTGGGTGTGGCCCATGTGGATGACAAGATGCGGGAAGCGAGGCTCAGATGGTTCGGGCACGTGCGGAGGAGAAGGCTTGATGCTCCGGTGAGGAGGTGTGAGCGGTTGGCCGTGGTGGGTACGAGAAGGGGTAGAGAGAGGCCTAAGAAGTATTGGAGAGAGGTGATCAGGAAGAACATAGTACGACTGCAGATTTCCGAGGACATGGCCCTTGATAGTAAGGTCTGGAGGTCAAGCATTAGGGTTGTAGGTTAGCAGGTAGTAGAGCTTTCCTTATTTCATACCGGGGGTGAGGCGGGGTTGGATTAGGATTGGGCTTAGATGGCTTGCAGTTTATGTTGAATCAACACTATCCTTGCTGTTTATCTTAGCCCCGGGCCTTAGATACTGGTTACTGTTATTGCATGTCATTTATCTTTTGGTTGTTATGCTTCTGTTACTATTATGGTTTCTACTGGAGTTACTAATGAATTGTCTTTTCCTGTTTTTATTTCCATCTTTCTGAGCCGAAGGTTTATCGGAAACAGCCTCTCTGCCCTATCGGGGTAGGGGTAAGGTCTGCGTACACATTACCCTCCCAAGACCCCACTTTGTGTGATTTTACTGGGTAGTTGTTGTTGTTGTCTAAGCTTTGGTGGGTAAAGTAACCATGCAACTATAAAGGGCAGCCCGGTGCACTATGCTGCTAGAAAATAGCAGGTGCAATATTCGAGGTATGGACAAGCTGGTCTGGAAACAACCATTTATTCTAAAAAAAAAGATCAAATTGTCATATAACTGACACCTGCCACCCTATCACCATCATATAAACAGAGCATGATTCTTGATGTAGGAACGTCAATTGAAAAGGAATTCTATGTGCTTTCAGCTAATTCTAATCACAATACCTTCGCCCCGGGGTCTAGCTCAAGTGGCGAAGGGTGGTGGATTTGTGTCTTAGGTCACAGGTTCAAGACCCCACACTATGCAAATCAAAGCCTGATATTTAAGTGGGGAAGGGTAGAGGGGCGGGCCCATTATCCACCAAGTTTCGAATACGGTTAGTCCAAAGGATCGACTCCAGACGGATTTCTCGGTCATCAAATAATCACAATACCTTCAACTTTTCGGTAATGAGCTAATTTAGTTCTCCTAATAAAGGAGTTGGACTTTTTTTTATAAGGATAATAATGGAGTTGGCCAATTAAATTAAATTTAAATAAAAAAGGACATAATCTGCTAGCTTGAACCACACCTAATCTCCTTCGTTTGAAACTTCCTCACTTTAGCAACATCAAGTGCTATCCTACCTTATATAATCTCACCCGAAGGGGGCAAAGCAAGGTTACAAGAGTTGACAAAGGATTCTGCAGAGATCCTGTCCTGAACCTTTAGGAATGCACATAAATTTACAAGGACGAATGGTAAGTACGTAATTACCAAACAGCAGAAAACTATTCTGTATGCAGAATAATAGGACCAATGGGCTAACTGAAAAAGAGACATGAGGCAATCAGAATCCGGGAAATGATTCCTTACCTTTACGTTTAGGCAACAACCCTGCACTCTCTGCTGAGACAGGGAGCACAATAATACTGCCAGATTCTTCAGTCAGCTCACTCAGACATTCCTTATCTATAGAAATGGATTTCAAAGGTGTCGTTTCAGCCAATCTAGCATAAGCAGCAGCTTGGCTGTGCATATCGGTCAAAGGTTTCCTTGAACTATAGTCCTGATAATTATTAATCACATAAATCTTTCCATTTGAAAAGGAAGCAAAAGATAATGAAAATAATAGTGAGAGAAACAACAAAACCTCAGGTGTGATAGTTGCTAATATGTTCTCTTTCTCGGATATTTGAGGTCCCTTTTCATCTATGGTGTTCTCTATTTCAGTTTTTTTAGGTCCATTTTCAATTGTATCACCAAAGAGAAAAAATAAGAATAAACTTTTCCAGCGTCACAAAGAAGAAGAATAAATGAGGAACTAATGAAAAAGCCAAAAATCAACCATGTAAGGTAAAAGAACAACGAAATACCTGTTGGACTTTAAGCCATTGGGCTTTAAAGTAGAAGAAGTGTGAATTGAAAATGTAGGGAAAATGAAAAATTTGAAGAAGTGAACTTTTGTCCCTCATTGGTGAGGGACAACCACATTTGTGTGCTTATATATAGAATCACTTCTTAAAGCTCTTAAAAGGAGTTGAAGAGAATGAACCTTCGCGCCGTCGTTGTCGCTCGCTCGGCTCGGCTTTGGATTTGGATTTGGATTTGTCAAATGATCGATGAGATTATTTTTTGGACAAAATTTATTTAATTATTTAATAATTAATTAAATGCCAAGTCACTGCGGAAAATACGCCAGAATCTTGCTGAAGATTCAGAGAGCCTATCTGACCGCGATTCTGCCGCGGTCGCGGTGGAACCGCGGCAGGTTTATTCAGAGAGTCTCTCTGACCGTGGTTCTGCCGCGGTCGCGGTACAACCGCGGCAGGCCGCGTATTTTCTGAAAAGGCACCTTTCCAGATACCTCTTCTGATATTTGCCTATAAATTCGGAGGCAAGGCTGCATCTTCTATACGAAAAAAATACTCCAGAACTTCTTTCTTTCTGAATACACTGCATCCTAATTCGCAGTCTCTCTCTCCCAAATTCGTAAGTGTGATTTTGCTCCGTTCTTTGAGTTCGTTGGTATCTTGCAGTTTGTATTGCCACTGTTGCATGAAGGTTTATTCCGCTTTATCCTGGGAGGATTTAATCCATTATCTTGGCAACGTGTGAGGGGGTTAAAATTCCTTAAGGACGCACAAGAAAATTGTGGACTCGGAATATTTCTGATTCTTTATTGTTTTCTAGATTTCTTTATTCTTCTAACAGTTTTGTTTTCTGATTTATGTTTTAACACAGTAACGCTCACAAGCTTAAGGAATTTAATTTACTAACGTTTCTGTGTTGATTATTAAACTGTTTTCTATATACTTTATTGGAGACTAAAGCCTTGTTGCTTTCTACTCCTATAATTGTTTCTGTCCGGTTTAAAGTACATAAACTTTGCCGGAATAATAAACGTACGGATTTGAAGTATATAAAAACTTCACCATTGTTACGT